TTCCAGGTCTCAATTCTGACGTGCTCAAGCATGTCGTCGAGCCGCCGCTTCTTGAATCACGGTGGCAGTTGAACCGCGCGCCCGATCCTGCAAATTCAACCCACCCAGGTCAGTCTCAGTTGCCCTTCATTCTCTTGTTCTTTTTCTCAGCCATCAACTGCAGGTTCTAGTTGTGCCTCATTCAGTTCTCAACTCCTCCGACGAACGTCGACATTCAAACCCATGCTCCACGGTGAACTTCATTCAACCCCGTCCATTCCTCGGGGCTCTTTCAACTTCGTCCCAGTTGATCACCCAGAACACATCCACAGCTATAAGTACACTTATACATCCCTCACTGTAAGTTAATCTACTCCCTTCATCTTCTTCTCCAACTAAGTACCAACCCTGATTCCCTCCTCCCAGACATGTCGCCGTGAATACACCGCATATATCCACCTCAACTCCAACTCCCCAGCTCGAATACCGCCCAATCCAATACCCGTGCACCCTCCCCACCCTCTTACGATTTTTTCTACCTCCACTGATCCGCCCTGCGCTCAACGGCCTGAATTTGAGTATGATTCATTCAAGTCCCTGCCGTGTAAATACTTTATTTTCGTTCATTCAACGCTCACATCACCCAGATTAGGGCTCTGTTCTGTTCTCTGGATGTGCCCGAGTCTCCCCTGGGAGTTCCGGATACCCAAGTGTGGGTGATCCCTCGGGTTCATTCCTTTTCTTGGAATAATATTATTTTCCCGTTCGCGGTGGTTCGAAGCTCAATAAGGTTCGATATGAAGGCTACGGTTCATACATTCACACTCTATTACAGCGGTTCTCATATACTCCTTCATTCCAGGTACTTCAACACCCATGTTCATGTCCCCGCACCGTCGGTGTTGAGGCTCAACTCGCCCCGAATGTATCTTCTCTAATTCTTTCCCTGAATAGGCGTGTTTCATCCCAATGATTCATTCATTGATACAACCACACATCCTGGTTGCCGCCACATTTGCGAGGTTGAACCACTTCAACCACCGCCCGATCCTACAAATTCGACTTAACCCGGGTCAGTCTTCGTCGGTCTTCATTACTCCATGTCTTTATCAACCCTCGAGTAACAATTAAGAGTGTTGGTGGGGTTGAGCGCATGGCGGGGTGTGTGTGTGGTTTGTCGGGCCACTGGTTTGCTTGGATTGACGTTATTTTCGTGTTCGTACCGGTGAATTAAGGGGAAGTGTGGAGATGGAGGCCGCGCGTAACAGGAGACGGATTGCTGTTTCGATACCGTTGTGCGGCCATATGCATCCCTCATTCGGCAATGAGTCCCCCGCCGCGCTGGATCTCAAGCTAACGCAAGTGTATTCCGCCACACAAGCAAGCACGCACGCAAGTCAGGCGAAGGGGATACCCAGATTCAGAATCATTTACTGGTTGTGAGTCCGTTCGAAGGCATTTTGAATTGAACTCGGGACTTTCGGGAGCGTTGTGGGTGCGGTGGGTGCATTATGCGAGGTGCGGTAGTTTGATTCAAGTCGGAGTTCGGAAGCGGTTTGAGTCGAAGGGTAAATTCCGCCGGTGAGTAGTACATGTGGTCAGTTCGAATCGATTCGACCCCCCGCCCCCAAGTTCCTGCCCGTGGTACTTACTTCGGCTTCATTTACCCAGAGCGAGACAGGACGCGTGGTTGGGATGAGTTCTCAGTGCGAGTATATAGTAGGTGGGTCTTGCGAAGGGTTCAACCTCGGTTGCAACCCACCGTAACTCGAATAATAATATATGGGGAGCTGGTGCCCCGAAAATTCCAGTCGAGGACCACGCCCCGCCCAACGGCGTCTTCCCACCCGACCTCGGAATTACTCGGGTTTCAGCAACTTGAATATGGGGTACACACTGCGATGCGTACATTCATTTTATTTCATCCCTTCCCTTCCCATCACAACTGCGTCCTTAAGGTTCCTCCCTTCCAACGTCCAATTTGACTTTCAACTCAACTGTGACTCGTCAGTTCGTATCGCCTCCCTCCACCCCACTGCGTCCTGGTCCTGGTTCTTGTTCGAATAACTCACTCACCTCGGACTCGCCTCGACGGGGGGTAGGGATTAAATCTCGCAGTAGGTCGGCGCGAACGGGGGTTCAGGGTGTGAACTCAGACTTAAACCCTCAAACCTGAACCTACAGCCCTCTTCCAGCCTCGCGCTCGCCGCCCACCCCTCTTAAATTCGAACAGACCTTAACTCGGCCTGGGTATTTAAGCACCCCGCTCTCACAGCGAGGAGGAACGAGGGAGGAACGCCAGTGAGAACGATGAAAACTGGCACTGGTTTTCGTTTACATTGATCTTCGTTGGTTTTCTGTAGACTTGGAAGCGGGCGGAGAAGGTAGAAACAGGATTCAATAAATTGAATCTGCGCCAACGAAAAGCAGGGGCTGCATGCACGTTCCATGTCTGCAGTATGGATTGGTCGGCCGACCTTGAAGAGCCAGAGCTGGACGTAGGATTTCTGCGCAGGGAAAAAAGAACAAGCAGCAAGTACGAGCAGGCCGGAGACGTACACGCGTACGCGGTATCACCGCATCGAGAGAGCGCCGGACTGAAGTGCAGTTATATCGGTTTGGGACTGGGATCGGGATTGAGTTGCGGCGGATGCGGATGTGTTGATGCCGGGTAATGCAAGGGAAGTTAGAACCAACGAGCGCGCGGGGTTCAGGGCGTGAGGCGAAATTGGGTGACAGGTGAAATCGCCGTACGCGCCAGGGCAGATAGGTTGGTGCAGCGGTAGGAGCAGCTTGGTGCCCAGATGCATTGTTTAGTTACGGGCGGGCGGATTGCACGGTCGTGTTCGGTGGGCGAGCACGAGTACTTGAATCGGGTCAGTCGCAAGTCAGTCGTGTTGAGTTCCACCGCGGGGCAAGCAAACCCATCGCACCGCTCTCACAGGGAGGAGGAAGGAAGGAGGGAGGAACGCTGGCGAGGACGATGAAAATTGGCGCTGGTTTTCGTTTGGATTGATTTTCGTTGGTTGGTTTTGTGTAGACTCGGAAGCGGGGAGATGGTAGAATCCGGGATTTATGTAATTGAATCTGCACCGAGAAAAAGCAGCGGCTGCATGCGCGTTCTATGTATGCAGTATGGATTGGTCGGCCGACCTTTCAGAGCCGGACGTAGGAATTCTGCGCAGGGAAAACAGAACGAATCAGCAAACACAAGCAGCAAGTACGAGTAGGCCGGCGTACACAGTATTGAGAGAGCGCCGGGCTTGAGCACAGTTATGTGGGTTTGGGACTGAGGTTGCGGCCGATGCGGATGTGTGGACGCCGGCTGAACGCAAGGGGAGCTAACGAGGGGACGGGGTTTGGGACATGGGTGGCGAATTAAATCGCCGTACGCGCCAGGGCAGATAGGTTGGCATGGCGGCGATGAAAGCAGCTTGGTGCCAGATGCGTTGTTCAGTCGCAGGCGGACGGATTGCACGGTAGTGTTGGGCGGGCGAGCACAACTACTTGAATCAGGTCAGTCGAGTCGAGTCGAGGATGGGCGCGGAGGGCGTGCTCGCGTGAGCACCAGGAGCGAACATGAACACGGTCTCAGGCCTCAGGCCTCAGGTCGGGTCGAGTCGGGCTACCAGCGATGATCGATGATCGGTGAGGTGGGAAGAGATACGTGGGAAGAACTATACGTCACTTTGACATCACTCCGTCTCTGCTGCTTTCAAACGATTTCTCTTCAATTCAATGGATGCTAGTACTACTCGAGGCGCGCACGACCGAGCACACTCAAGGCAGCTGCATCTCTTCCCAAGTTCTCCGCAGCTTCCGCCTCCTCGAAGAGCTCGAAAAGGGCGAAAAGGCATCGGCATCGGCGTCGATTCGGCTCCTGCTCCTGCTCCTACGGCCTCGAAGACTCGGACGACATCATGATGAGCAACTGGAACGGCACCATTATCGGCCCAGGGCATACCGTGCACGAGAATCGTATCTACAGGCTCCGAGAGGTACCCGGATGCTGTGCCGGCGGTGCAGGTGCGTGCGCGTTGCGTGTGGGGAGTTATGCTTTACTGACGTTGTCTGCTTTCTGCTTCCCTTCTCTTTTGCCTCTGTCTTTCATTGGCCACTCCCACCACCGCGGAACGCATCGAATCGAATTTATGCAAACGATACACAATACACGATACCCAGTTCCCTCCCGCTTAAACCTCCCCTTGGTCTCCGCTACGACCGGCACCGTCGACCCCGCCCGTCTCCCCGCCCTCGCCTCCTGGGCGCGCGCGAGCAGCCTCGAGCATGTGTTGGTCGACATACGGAAGTGCGTTTCTCCCTCCTTCCTCTTATTCCTTTTGTTCTCTTATCCCTCGCCGTATTCCCCTTGGTTTTCGCGTTCCTTTCCTCCCGCGTTCTTGCCCGTGTGCATCCGCGTCCTCCGCTCTCGTTATTATAGCTTCCTCCCGCTGCCCTTTCCCTCTATTCCTTCGCGCTACCTTCGCCTCCCTACCTTCGACGTCCTCATCCTTCCCTCGTTGTCCCGACCCTTCTTCCCATTTCCTTCTGCGCATTTCCTTCTCCTCCCCTTCATACCACAAACCAACACAAACTCCAGAGAAATGGCCTCCCCCGCAAACCGCAAGCTCCCCAGCCGCCCGAGGGCAGCATGTTCTAGTCACTCACCACATTTTGTACCGTTTGTGTTGTACTCTACGTGGGGCGAGGGTGTAGGAGTGAATGTGAGGATGGCAAGGGGGAAGGGGGAAGGGAAAGTGGGGTGTACGATAGATAGAACTGAAGTGCGAATCTGAATCTCAAGCTGAATCTCAATGAATGTCCCAAATTTTCTCTCACTTTGCCTTTCCCTCCGTTCGTGTCTGCAAAACCACGCACGACACAGAGAAATTGAACCTAACTTGCATTATATGTGCACATCTTATAATTTGTACCCGGTACCACGAACCAACGCTCGAAATTCTTCGAAAACAAAAGAAAGCAAATACGAGAAACACCAAAAAGGATACAACAAGCAGGGATGCCCTCGGTAGGAGTCAAACCCACGTCATCCACATAACATGTGATAAGGCGGTCCATCGCAAGTGGAGGCTCAGACCGGTGAGCTACGAGAGCTGTTTACTGCATCCTATTCTAGGGAAGTATAAACAACTCGCTACGTTTTGTCGACGAACCCTAATATTCTTCTTGAATCTTCGACAAGCTACGGGGAGGAAGGCGGAGTCGCACGATTAAATAAATAGAAGCATCAGGAAACGAGAACGCACATGTACAAAAAGGCGGCAAATGATGTATGCCCTCGGTGGGAGTCGAACTCACGTCTTCCGTGTAGAATTTTTCAACCAAACCAGAATCAAAGGAGGCTCTGGCCGTTGAGCTACATGGGCATGTCTGACATTTAGGTAGGTGGTGTACAGGACCACTAGTCTGGCGGTCAGGGTGAACAAATTGAGATGGATTTTGGCACATGGATAGAAAGATTTACAGAGAGTTGTGTTTCAGGGGAGAAATAGGTGTGAAACAAATAGCATTCTCCTTTATAAAATTACGTGCATGTCTGTGCGAGGCCTTTTAGGCTCCGCTGATGGGATGATGTGTTGCGGTGGCACCACACCAAAAATATCTCGGCTTCGTGATACCGAGTATGCCGAGACTTGCCGAAACTTACCGTGCACATGAAACTTAACAGCCCTGTTTCGACTTTCGGGTCTCAACAGCTTGTACAGCTTCTTCCAGACCAATATCATCATGATCCCTGGAGTTCGAAGTAAAGCAGTGAGGTGCAGAGCGCCCCGCGGCGTTCTTGTTACCACGGAAAAAACGGTGTGAGAAACTGGAATTGTTCAACCAGTGTGATGAACATCATAAGAAGCGTGAGGTAGAAACCTAAGTTGAGGTCAGTAAGCGTAAACACCTCATTGTCCAGGTGGCAGAGACGGCCGAATGGGCAGTGGATGTCAGTGAAGAAAACAGCACACTACACATACTTTCCACATAATTGTCAGGCTGTCAGGTCAAACCACGAGTTGTATTTCATACACATGATTTCAAATACGCTAGAATTCTATGTAAACAACTGTTATCCAACCAGCTTCCTAAGTGACTGCATGGAGTTCATTGCCATCCTGTGAATCCACCTCTGCGCCTCTGTTAAGAAGGATCTGAACAATGTCAGAATGGCCTCCCTCAGTTGCTGCCTGGAGGGCATTTCCATAGAACCCGCCCTGTGCATTCACATTTGCACCTTTGTCAAGAAGGATCTCAACAATCTCGGAATGGCCTTGCGCAGCTGCTGCCTGGAGCACATTTCCATAATATCCTCCCTGTGCATTTACATCTGCCCCTTCGTCAACAAGGATCTGAAGGATTTTGAGATGGCCTGCCTCAGCTGCTGCCTGGAGTGCATTTCCACATTCCCCTCCCTGTGCATTCACATCTGCCCCTTTGTCAAGAAGGATCTGAACAATCTCGGAATAGCCTCCCACAGCTGCTGCCTGGAGTGCATTTCCATATGATCCTCCCTGTGCATTCACATCTGCACCGTTGTCAAGAAGGATCTGAACAATCTTGAGATGGCCTCCCTGAGCTGCTGCCTGGAGTGCACTTCCATATTCTCCTCCCTGTGCATTCATATCTGCACCTTTGTTAAGAAGGATCTGAACAATCTCAAGATTGCCTCTGTTAGCCGCCGCCTGGAGTGCATTTCCAAGAACCCCTCCGTGTGCATGCACATCTGCCCTTTTGTCAAGAAGGATCTGAACAATCTCAGAATGGCCTCCCCACGCTGCTGCCTGGAGCGCATTTCCATATTCTCCTCCCTGTGCATTCACATCTGCACCTTTGTCAAGAAGGATCTGAACAATCTCGAGATGGCCGCAGTAGGCTGCTGCCTGGAGTGCATTTCCATAGTGTCCTCCCTGTGCATTTACATCTGCACCTTTGTCAAGAAGGATCTGGAAAATCTCAAGATGGCCTTCGCGAGCTGCTGCCTGGAGTGCATTTCCGTAGTATCCTCCCAGTGCATGCACATCGGCACCGTTGTGAAGAAGGATTTGAACGATTTTGGGATGGCCACTATAGGCTGCTGCCTGGAGTGCATTTCCAAAGTAACCTCCCTCTGCATGCACATCTGCCCCTTTGTCAAGGAAAAGCTGAACAATCTCGAGATGGCCCCCGTTGGCTGCTGCCTGGAGCACATTTCCATCAAGCCTGCCCCGTGCATGCACATCTGCCCCTTTGTCAAGAAGGAGTTGGCACATATCCAAGTAGCCATAATATACTGCAACAGCCAACATTTCACTGTCAGCATATTCTTCAGCATATTCCAAGAGATAACTCGCTATCTTCACCATATTTACCGAGGCTGTGATCCACAAAGATGAGGGAGAGTTAGGCCAATCATCAAAGGTCCACGGAGGAGACTGCCATTCCCATGAATACCGGTACCACTGTTCCCGGTATGTCCTGGCCTCTTTCAGAAACTCTATAATGGGATCTCTCAATTCCTCCTCACACAGTTGAGCATGTACCAAATAGTACTGGCAATATTCAAGAAGTGGTGGCTCGTTGTCCTCAGAAATGGCTTTTTTGTCTGAGAATTGCTCAAATTGCAAATATGTTAGCAAGCTCTGTGTGATTTTAATGTGTGGGTTTGGAAGCTCCTTGGCTTGGATTTCATCCAGATATTTCTGGGTAGTAAAGTGGACAAGTCGGACCAAGGAACTGCGTTCTTCCATGATTATGAGACCAGCACAGACAGAAAGGATGATAGCAATATCAGTGATATTGTCCTTATTCAATCCTTTTGTTCCTGGCTCAATGGCTAGTGCCTCACATAGTTCGACACTGGTCAGAGGTCTTTTTGCATTGACAACCCAGGTAAGTGCTGATTGTGCAAGCTCTTTTCGGTTTTGAGGAAGGGTATTGATCCGGTCAATGATATTCCTATATGTGTGGTCCAAATCGGTTGGCAAATCTTCCAATGCTTGTCGGACTTCCTTTACATTGGTTGCTGTGTGCAAGGCATCAACATGAAGCTTGGCAAGTAAGAACCTGATAGGGCGACTGGTTAAATGATTTCCTCCAATTAATATAACACTTACATTCCACGGACAGTGTTACTGATTTTTGAAGAAATTTCCTCCTGCAACCCTGTTTCCTTATGAACATGCTGCAACAAGCAAGCAGACAACTGAATTTGTGCCTCCACATATGTCTCTATGTCCATCTGGCTTGCCAGTATCTCCAGTGTTACAGGATTTGGAAGCAACTGAGGCGGGGAAATATGGGGCCGCGACAGGACCAAAAGGTTGATAAGCCCCGGACCAGTCAAGTCTTTGGCTAGTATACCCCACTGATTCTCTGGGTATTCATCAACCCCGTCGAGAATAACATAAACCTGTGTGAACCTGAGAAGTGCCAAAGATAAAAGTGTCTGAATGTCTTTGTACGAGGGCCTTGTCTTCTTCTCAGCATGTTTCTGATACAGCTCATGAGCAGAACCAAGAGGTTGGTTTGGGATTAGCTGTCTCCAAAGTCCTGCAAGCAGATTGTCCAGTGTTTGGATTTGAGTCTCCTTGTGGTTGAAGTAGATGCAGGCCACTCCAATATTCTTGCTTTGGAGGGCACTTAGATGGTCTACTACAAGAGAGCTACAATCATATACATGAGCAGAACTCAGTTTGTGGAATTGGGACCTACGCAAGAACAGTCTTCCCAGCACCAGCTATACATATTATTCAGGCCGAGACACTGATAATATGGTGATGTTACACACGTATTCCCGAGCACCACAGAATTCCTCCAGTGCTTGATTTCCACTGCTTGAACTTGGGGTCATTGACCAGCCATTCACCGGTTCCTGACTGCCGATTCTTGGAAATGTCCTGTTGTCGAACAAAAAAATTGATTGGGGACAACCATTCAATTATTGCACTCCGTTTAGCAGCTGAAGAGTGTTCAACATCTGCATGAACAAAAAATTCTGGCAATCACCATCCATTTGATCCCTGGAAGCAATAAACTCAGAGGAAGACTTAAACAAGATTCACCCAACATACCAGAAGTCCAGTATCAACCAAGAATTAATCAGGCTTTTGAATTGCTCCAGCTTTGTGACATCTTCATCTGTCTTCTTTTTGTTGCTCATTGGCCATGCTACTCTTTTTTTGAGTTTTCCAATCGATCCTTTCCCCGGTTGCAACCTTTCGGTGAGGTCCTGTACATCCTTGCACAAGTTTGACAATGGACCCGCCATCTGCCGAAGAACACCCGCAGATGGATTAGCAATGATGTGACGACGGAGCTCATCCAGAAGTAGTTTGAGATCCTCCATCTCTGTCAGTAGTTTCTGCTGCTCCTGTGGTGCTTTGTGTGCATCCTGAATGACTTGTTTGACCTTCAGTGCAGTACCCAGAAGACTGAGTCCGGCCTCGACGATCCCTAGTACCTCAGCCATGGTGGGAGACGACAAGATGCGAGAGCTGACAGTCACTATGCTGTCAATTTATGTCACTTGACTGACAGCTTCCTGACAGCTTCCATGCTGCTCTTATATAATTACTACAAGGGTGCTATAGATATAAATCTCAGAGCTGTTGAGACCTGTTCGTAGCGATGCACGATAAACATCCAGACATTTTGAGCCAACGGGCGACGCGAGACGGTGCCCGGAGAACCGACACCATCAGCGCTCGCCGCTGAGGCTGGAAGTCCGAAAATCACTGACACCGGATTTGGTCGGCTAACCGCCGGTAACTCAAAATATTGTCAAGCGCTTTCCCGCCATTTCCTTCACCGCGCGGTCCCGCCTTCAAATCATATCAGGACTCTCTGATCATTTGATAGAACTCTCCTACACCTTTGTTCTTCAACCCACCAACTTCAACCGACCCAACTGCTGCCAAATCCTCCAAGCGAAGGTTCCTTCCATTTCGAATTTTCTACACTTTTATGAACCTCGGGAATGTTCACCACACCCCCTTTAGAGCTGTCCCAACTCCAGATTCAACACAATCTCAATATTTCCGTTCCACCCATCAACTACAACTTTCCCGAGAGTGCCTTCGCCCCACCTGATCCTGCAAGGTTTCAAGGTCTTAATTCATCATCTCTGAGGTTAGTACTGATGTCTGAATGTATCACCTGACATTGTCTTTCCTCCTTGCTCTTCGCAGACATTCCAACACATCTTCCCTTGTTCAATTCCTCCTTTGGTACTCGCGCGACTTTCTGCCAGATTTTCATCCAGAAAGGATCTAAATGGGATCGAACATCACTCCTGGTAAGTTGGTCGATCTCCTCTACCCCTCGTCCAACCGTCGACCGTCGATTGATTCCTTCATCCCAGACCATCTCAATATCCCGAAGATATGTGCCATATTCTTCA